GTTCCCTTCCCCTACATGACCATTAAGGTCTGCTCCAATCATCACTCTCTCTCCTCTGGGGATACTCTCTATCATCCAATCCAGCTCCTTCCAGAACTTCTCCCTTTCTTCCAACTCACAGCCTACCTGTGGGGCATAACCGCTAACAACATTTATCATCACTCCTTCTATTTCTACCTTCACACACATCAACCTGTCTGACTCTCGTTTCACCTCTACCACATTTCTTACATATTCTTCCTTTAGGATCACCCCTACTCCATTTCTCTTCCCATCCGAACCATGATAAAACAGCTTGTAGCCTCCTCTAATGTTTCTAGCCTTGCTGCCCTTCCACCTAGTCTCCTGCACACACAAAATGTCTACTCTTCTTCTCCCCATCACATCAGCTATTTCTCTACTTTCCCCTGTCATTGTACCTACATTCAAAGTTCCAAACTTCAGACTAACACTTCTAACACACTAACACTTCATCTTTTCTCTTTTTCTCCTAACCAAACACCCTCCTCTTCTTCTCTGTCTCTGACAGTATGTATGGGCAGAATGCAGTATAGATACATTAGGAAAGAGGGGTTGCAGTTTACATTCATAACTGCAAACAACAACAAAAGAAGCCATTCTGTGTGTTTCAGTAATACTGTAGTGATCCTTACCTTAAAGTTAATCTTTATTTTATATTCCACTCCCTCCTTCAGGACAAAGGCCTGTTTCTTAAAGGCTGTCAGGTCTCCTGTTTAAAAACAAAGCAGAAAAAGCAAAAAGCAATGTTAATTAGCTGAAGACTTTCTTTGATATCCATCCATCCATCCATTTTCATCCGCTTATCCGTTACCGGGTCGCGGGGGCAGCAGTCGCCACCCAAATCACATTGCACCATACCAACCCCCCCAAACCTTTCTGCGGGTGGTGAGTCCACTGGAAGGTATTAACCGCCCTAACCGGGATTCGAACTTGTCCAGGAGGTGAACCCTGGGGTTCCACACCAATGACAGAGACATTGCCTCTGGGCCAAAGCGCCACACTTTCTTTGATATACATATTTTAACATATGTTTGTCTCACAACTCCCAGACCTGGGGGTCAGTCATTTATTCATCCTGACAATTTATAAAC